GTGTGTGTTTTTGTCCAAACAAGGACAGTGATTTATATTCCAGTATGAGTAACACTTCTTTCAGTCTTAAAGACCATAATCTGAAATAAGTAGCAATATTTGACAAATCATCCATGGATGTGTAAATAATTTCATTTCATTTCATTTATTCGATTTATATCCCGCCCATCTGGTCTGGTGGGCAGGCTGCATTTTATACTTTCTTGAACATGGGCCTATGGCCATACAATCTTGACCAAAATATTCTTAAACAGTCATTCTATCACTAATCAGTTAGGATCACTCAAGGGACTACAGCTAAGCAAACATGAAATAATATCTATCCTATTATGCAGCAGCAACCACAACTGTTGCTGACCAAAAGTGGAGGCTAAATTCATTGGGGTGGTCTTTTTTTAATGGTTAACCAAAATCCAGGACAGATATCTGGAGCTTTTCCCAGGACATTACTGTTGGGAAATAGCAACAGTCTCATGAGAAAGATTTAGTGTCACAAGATTTCCAGTATGGTGTCCAGCTCAGAGAATTTTGGATACACTTCAGATTTTAACGCTTTTTCCACCCCCAAGCCTACTAATCTTTAGGGGGTAAGTTGTTCCTTCACAGACATCCGATCTGGCAGTGCATCCAATTGTGCAATAAGTGTCACTGTTACAGCCCATCTGTGAAAAACTTAGAAGTGTCCTCTTCCCTCCACCCCTGTCTTAATACCAGAATCTCAAATGTTTCCAGACACGTACTTGGCTGGGAGTGAAAGGAAGAAGGAAAGGAAAAGATTTGTATTTGTTTGCTAGAAAATAACTGATTTCACTCTGTGTCCAGTGAAGCAATATGGTTTTAGTCTGGATCTTGAAAGTGGATCAGGCTGCTGTGATAGTTCACATTCCAGTTCCTCTTCCACATCACTTGCTCAATCCTTGTGCTAAGTAAATCCAGAAAAAACAAATAACCCATTTAAACTTCTAGTTTGTTCTGAAGCATTAGCCCAACCCAACTAAGCACTAGAAGAATATCAAATCTATAAACAGTTCATCTTTAGCTGTTCACACCAGTATGTACGCAGGTAGGCAGATTCCCACGGTAGGAAAAGAACTTGTGGAATAGGTGCCATATATATTTGTGAAGTGAAAACTAGTGGCTGTCTGCTGTATTGGAAAGGAATATATTTCAATGCACCATCAAGGGTGCACAAAATGATTTAAGATATTCTGGACCTAATTTATATACTACTTTGTGTGTTGTTTGCTGCTAACATGTGATTGCTTCACCATCTCTTTGGTGATATCAGAGGTGCCATATTATATAGGTCATTTGGACCATGTAGGTATGTCCCACAATAATCTGCACCTTGATCAGGGACACTGATGCCATATGATTCAACTGAACCACTTTCTTCAGAACTTCAAACATTACTGAGGCAATGTAGAAGAACCATGAGAAGTACAGACTTTCCACAAAAGTACTGTAATGCCTAAATTTAGGCCTGGTAGAACATGTTCCAAGAATATACTGTAAGAAGTGAGAGCCTGTGTAGTGTAGGGTACAGAATGTTGGATTAGGACTCAACCCCCTGCTCAGTGGCATGTTAAACCTTTCCTTCAACTTTTCATATGCAGTACCTTGAAAACCTGAACAGGGCTAGAATAAGTTAGAAGTGACTTGATAACACATAATAATGAAGGTTGAAGTGCAGGAATTCATCATGAAAGTACACAAAACTGCATGCTGACTGCTGACTGTGATGATCCATATGAACAGGCCAATTCTGGCAATTTTCATCCTCACTCTTGTTTAAAACAAATTATCCATTCAGGACTTTGTTGTTTAGTCATTTCGTCATGTCCAACTCTTTGTAACCCCATGGACCAGAGCACGCCAGGCCCTCCTATCTTCCACTGCCTCCCGGAGTTGGGTCAAATTCATGTTGGTAGCTTCGATGACACTGTCCAACCATCTCATCCTCTGTTGTCCCCTTCTCCTCCTGCCTTCACACTTTCCTAACACCAGGATCTTTTCCAGGGAGATTTCTCCTCTCATGAAATAGCCAAAGTATTGGAGCCTCAGCTTCAGGATCTGTAATTCCAGTGGGCACTCAGGGTTGATTTCCTTTAGAATTGATAGGTTTGTTCTCCTTGCAGTCCAGGTGACTCTCAACAGTCTCCTCCAGCACCACAATTCAAAAGCATCAATTCTTCGGTGGTCTGCTTTCTTTATGGTCCACCTCTCACTTCCATACATCGCTATAGCTTTGACTATGCGGACCTTTGTTGGCAAGGTGATGTCTCTGCTTTTTAAGATGCTGTCTAGGTTTGTCATCACTTTCCTCTCAAGAAGCAGGCATCTTTTAATTTCGTGGCTGCTGTCCCCATCTGCAGTGATCATAGAGCCCAAGAAAGTAAAATCTGTCACTGTCTCCATATCTTCCCCTTCGATTTGCCAGGAGGTGATGGGCCCAGTGGCCATGATCTTAGTTTTTTTGATGCTGAGTTTCAGACCATTTTTTGCACTCTCCTCTTTCACCCTAATTACAAGGTTCTTTAATTTCTCCTCACTTTCTGCCATCAGAGTGGTATCATCTGCGTATCTGAGGTTGTTGATATTTCTTCCAGCAATCTTAATTCCAGCTTGGGATTCCTCCAGTCCAGCCTTTCACATGATGTATTCTGCAGATAAGTTAAATAAGCCGGGGGGACAATATGCAGCCTTGTCGTACTCCTTTCCCAATTTTGAACCAATCAGTTGTTCCATATCCAGTTCTAACTGTTGCTTCCTGTCCCACATATAGATTTCTCAGGAGATAGATAAGGTGGTGAGACACACCCATTTCTTTAAAGATTTGCCATAGTTTGCTGTGGCCCACACAGTCAAAGGCTTTCGCATAGTCAATGAAGCAGAAGTAGATGTTTTTCTGGAACTCTCTGGCTTTCTCCATAATCCAGCACATGTTAGCAATTTGGTCTCGAGTTCCTCTGCCCCTTCGGAATCCAGCTTGCACTTCTGGGAGTTCTCGGTCCACATATTGCTGAAGCCTACCTTGGAGGATTTTGAGCATAACCTTGCTAGCGTGTGACTAAGCCATCCCAAATACAAAACAGCTTGCATTTAAAGATGGGCACAAATCACAGTTTGGCAGTTTGGCCCAGTTTAGCTCAGCACCTGCACAGGTGCTCCATGGGTGCTGCACACTCCCCTCTCCCTTCTCTTCTGTGTACTGGGGCAGGGTGTGCTTCCCTCCCCACCTCTTCACTGCATCTACCGACTTATCCATTGCAGTGCATGCTTCCCTCCTTTGCCACATTTGGCAGCTCCCCACTCAGACGAGGAGGCAGGGCAGGGAAGTGTGCGGCACTGCCTCTGAGTGGGCAGCCATCTCAGGGGAAGTGGAGGAGGGAAGCACACGCTGCGATCACTGAGTGGGCAGTAGTCAGGTTGAGGAGTCAGGGGAGGGAGGCACACTCTACCCGAGGAATGGGCGACCACACAGAGGAGGTGGGAGCGGTGTGTGTGCAGTGCCTTCAGAACACCTGTGCCAAACTGAGCTGAACTGCTGAACTGTGGTTTGTTCCCATTTCTACTGTACTTGTATTACAACAGGGATAGCTGTATTGCAAAAAATCCCTTGCTGTGATATTACAAAATATATTGCCATCCTGTTATTTCCAGCTTTTGTGAGTATTGAAGTTTTCATGTCGGTCTTTCACAAGTCCTGGCACTTTGGTCTGGCAAGTGTTACTGTCTAGTATTTGGTGTCTATAAGGTTTAAAAGACAGAACTAGGTCCCGGGTTGCTGGAACAGTTTTACAACGTTGAGCAATCATTCATTCGTTAGCCTGAATATTGTACCATAGACCCAACTGTTCACGTGTTGTTTCAGTCAGGAAATGTCAGGTAGTTACCCCTTGAGGGGTTTGGAATGTGACCTACCTCAAATGTTGACAAAGCTGAAGGAAGGAGTTAAGAAAGGAATCAAAGTGGAACTGGTGAACAACCTTCAGAGTTTCTTTGGGGTATTGTTTTCAATTTCATAAAAGAAAATTGCATTATGTATGTTGCTATGTGCTGTGAAGTCATGATCCTAAGAGGTTTTCCAAGGCATGTAAGATACTAAAGGAGTAGTTTTACCATTATGACCCCTTCCTCCAATGAGTTTCCAGGTCCAAATAGAGATTTGAAGGCAGCTTTCCTGAGTCTTAGTCCATAACTCTAGCCTCTACACCACACCGGCAGTATAGTTGTAGTTAAAGTTAATATTACAAAAGACACAGTATGTCTATAGTGCTCTCTCATCCAATGGAAACAGAGTCCTGCATCTAAAACTTCTCACCTCTCAGGAAAGTGGGTTAGAATGGCTGAAATCCTGTTGCAATGTGTAGCCTGCATAATTAAATTGTAAACCACCCAGAGAGTGCTTGAAGCGCTATGGGGCGGTATATAAGCAGCACGCTTTGCTTTTACTTTGCTTTGCCATATATCTAAGATGTGAGCTGAATGATGCCATCATCCAGCAATGGAAATCTTTAATTTAATTTAATTAAAAATATCTTACTCCCCCTTCAGGTTCAGAAACTTCCTGGTGAACTCTTTTGTCATTTGGAAACTTTTCAAAGGCTTAGGATAGAAAAGGGAGCCTTGAAATACTGGGAGATTACCATAAATCCTTCCACCAGATTAGGTCCACTTGTGTCAATCTAGCAGCAATTTTCCAATATTAAAGGCTTCCCCTTCCTGGGGCTCTCAAAGGCTTCACGAAAACAAAAGGGTTCCCTAAGGATCCTTGGAACCTAAGGGCTGGGAGTGGTTAGGAGATTTTTAACTTAATTAAAGATCTCCATTGCTGGATATGATGTCCTCCAGTTTACACAGCGTAAATTTATGCCAACAGAATTCCAACCAATGGCTCTCTCAATAAAACTCAATCTTTAAATCTTTTATTTGATTACATATGATTGAGAAGTCAACTCTTTCGCACTGTGCCGTCTTCTCTATGCTTTTGTTCCCAGGTCTGTTCATTTGCTGCCAAGAACAAATGGCTCTGGCTGTAGTACCATGATGTATACTGCCACAAACACTTACGCGCATGGGATTGTACCAGTAGTGAATGGTAACACTGGTTTACTGAGTCTGGGTGAGAAGTACATTTCAGTTTGTTTTAGATAATAATTTACCAAAATTCACAGATTGCATAATGTTCAAAATAGGAAGCAATTGAAATTAGGAAAATATAATTGTGGAGGAAACTGACAGATTCAGCTACCCAGGGTCCAGGTTTAAAGTTTAGATGTTTGGCTGTTCATCCCCATGTGTTTGGCCATGTTTTTGCTGTCTTAGGGTTAAGCATTTTAAAGAATATGTGGGGGTGCTCACTACCTTGGTGCATGCGCTTGTAATCTCAAGATTAGATCACTGTAACGCACTCTACGTGGGGCTGCCTTTGAGGCTGATACGGAAACTCCAGGTGGTGCAGAATGTGGCGTCCAGGCTCCTTAGTGGAGTGAGAAAACGCCAACATATTTCTCCCGCGGAGTGAGAAAACACCAGCATATTTCTCCTACTCTGGTGCGCATTGAGTTCAAAGTGTTAATGCTGACTTTAAAAGCCCTAAACAGTTTAGGTCCTCAATATTTGGTGGAACGCCTACTCCCAACAAGTTCTACCCATATCACCCGCGCGAGTCAGGAGGTGAGGCTGAGGAGCCTGATGCCGAGAGAGGTCCATAAGGAAAGAACCAGAAACCAGGTCTTCTCGGCGGTGGCTCCTTGCGTCTGGAACAACCTCCCTTCAGAGATTCATGCGGCCCCTACGTTGGGAATCTTTAAAACCCAATTAAAAACATGGATGTTTGTGCAGGCCTTCCCTCCAGTTAATCCTTGATCACTCTTTTTTCTTTATACTTTTCCTTTCTTTTTGCCATCTTGAATAATTTCTAATTTATTAGCTCATATTATAATTTTTTGTGTATATCTGTACATTTTTATCTATGTAAGAATAATCATTAAATTCCACATTCACAGGAATGTGAGTTTCTGAACATGTTAGGACACAAAGATTCCTTACCTCCGTTGGTAAAAGGGACAAATGGGACAAAGGTGATTCCCCTCCCTCCTGCAAGGGGTTTGCGGCAAAATTTTTCTCTGCAAAACTCACCTTTTTTTTCTTTATGAAACTATGCACACGCACAGTAGGCAAAGAAGGACTGGCTGATTGGCCAGAGAAGATGCAAAGAGCCCAAACGAAGCTTCTAATTTCTAAAAAGTCAATTCAATGAGGCAGAAGCTATCATCCTTTTGTGCAACTGCTGTTGTTTGTGCAATCAGGGTTCTTTACAGAAAAGCGTTCTCAGAAGTGCAAATAATTTATCATGACTCATCCTCTCAAAGGCAAAGGATTTTCTTAATTCTTGCACATGAGTATGAGAAAGACTCACATTCTGCAGCATTACCTCTCTCTTTTTTTTTCTGAGGGCCTTTTTTTTCTTTAAGACTCCATGCTGCTGCTTCCAAAATGCAAAAAATGTCTTCATGTTCAGGGTGAAAACAGCATAATTTTTAAATCTAGCTTTAAAAAGCTGAAAGCAATCAGAACATTTTCCTCAGCCCTATTGTTTACTTGGATGAAAATAGTCAGTGAAGGAAATTAATATGATTTGATGACTGTGGTGGCAAATCTTCCCAGCGCAAGCATCAGATGCAGTTCTCAGACTTCATGAGGCTAAAGAGCACCAGGCCCATTAGTTACCCTTCTAAACAAAGCTGAAGAGAGATTTGGATGGAATGGGTCAGACGAGGGCATCAGGATGGTGGATTTCATTTCAGAAATCAGCCTCCAGAATTAAATATTGGCAGAGTATATTTAATGGAAAAGAGCTAGTATGATGTAGTGGACAGAATGAGGGACTAGCAGCACTCAGGAGACCTAGGCTTAAATTTCTCTTCAGCCATGAATACTCATTTGCGGGTAGCCATGGTAAGCCTGCTCCTTAAATGCCTCACATATCTTTAAAACTCTCCTGCGGGTCACCATACTGCAGATACAACTTGATGGCACCTAACGACAAATGTTTAATGTGAAGAAGACATAAAGAGGCCCACATAACAAATATAGAAGAAGCCTATATGGTTGGTTAGCTAATATTAAGAGAGGGGGAAAGAGATGGGGGGGCTGTTATCTAAGTGGGAGAGGAAAGTGGTTATTATGGGAGTGGGGAGGTCATGGTCCATAGAACCCCCTGCACATTTCAGCAAAGAGCCTGCTGGACTCCATTACTACTGTTTAAGATGCTTTGCCTAATATTTGATATTCAAGTGCTTCCAGTAGTGCAAATAGAAGAGATTTTGAGACTGAAGAAAAGTTTATAAATGACTGTATTTTTCTTTGGTCAACAATAGTTGAAAAGAATGATTTCTGACAGATGGTATTCCTTCTGCTGCTCCAAACTTGATCTTATTTATGTATAACAAAACTTTTATTATTTTCATATTTTGGAAGCCTTTGGCTTTTTCTCACCACTTTGGAGATGTGGCTCAAGCTATACAAAATGTCTTTTCCAGGACTTGCTGGCATATTCCATAATGTCACAGAGAACACTGGCTACAGTAGGACTATTTCTGCCAGCTGGACAAGTCAGTGGGACATCAGACACTGAAACTGAATGGCACTTGCTTTTATTATTTGCATTTAAAGGGGGGAGTTGTGGTGAGAGAGAAGCCCACACTGAAAAACATTCTCATAAAATGCAGTTACTTTACCTTATTGTTGGTCACTTGCATTTGTAAAATCCAGAATTAGCGTTTATAGCCGGGGAGTCTGTTTCTTGTGCAATTAAGAGCAAGTCTGAGATTAACAATTTCAGAATGTGGCAAAATAAGATGAACTAAAATGTTTCCATTGCCACATGGGAAAATGTAGCAAGTGACACATTTTGCAACAGGTTCCCCAATACAGAGCCTAGAAACACTAATTTAAATCATATTTCTAGTGGTATAAATTATTCACATTATGGGTGGGGAAAAACACATTACCTTCCTACAGTACTCCAGCATTTCAAATAAAAATCATGAAGTCAATAGTGTGCCACCACAGCCCAATCAAAGCTCAGGGGATTTTTATTTTTAACCTCTCCAGACCCGTCCAGTTTCACTTTTCACTTGCACCAACAGTACATGTAGACAGTTATAGAAGATGTTAACAATACAGTTCCTTTCCTGTAAGCAAAACAAGGAATGCCATAATTTGTCATCTAAATCTCCATAAAGTGTTATTTCCCCAAGAAAAGAGCTTCCATTTTTCTCATGCTCCATTTCACGGACCTTTAGAATGCCTTTGGTGGGTGCCACCCCCCCAGGCTTTGGTACAGTGTTGCATGCACTCACCTCCGCACCAAGAGAAAGCACTGAATGGAACAAGCTGGGTAATCAAGGGCCTTTATATTTTCAATGACAGTGATTTTGCCAAAAGGTGCCTGAAATTGTCAGGCAAAGGAGCTATAAAAAGAAATGAATGCACATCTGGGATGTTCATTATAGAGACATACAAAGAATTACATACCAGAAGGGCAAGCAAATAGGTTGGACTGCAAGAGGTGAGGAGCAACATTTGAGAATGCAAAACGCTTGGAAGTCAACAGACTGTTTCTTGGTTTGCCCACTTTAGCTACAGTACTTTTGCAGAACTTATATCCTCAATATTCTTTGATATTTGAAGATGCTTTCACAGCTTTCTTCCAGACTCATGATTTGACACTTTATCTTCTTGGATTTATATATGTTTTCATTTTGGCTCTTTAATTCCAGGATAATAACAGTTATTTTCAGCCGCCTCTCTTATATATGCTTGGATTCGCAGCGTTAAAATTCTTGGATTAAGCTGACACGAGGTGACAAAAGTTCGTGTGGGCAACTGTTTATGCCTTTGCACCTGTCCCATATAAATTAGGAGCTGAGGCAGTAATTATGTATTTACTGTTATGAAACAGTTTCGTTTTCTGGGTATACTCAAATCACTTGTTAGTCTGAACTAGAATAGAATGGGAATAAAACAATTTAAACAATGGAAATTGTTTAAGGGTTGATAAGTTCCTATCTATTCTGTAGATCAAATCTAGTTTGGGGTGTCAATTAGATTTTAGGCCATTACAGCTGGCAATGTAATATTGATATATTTGATGCTTTCTTTTGTTTTGTTGTGGTTTGAACTGGCATGGAAGTGCTATACAGTTACAGTGGCTGTATCTCTTTCCCTGTTACTTAAAGCACACTGTGCCTACATGAATTTCTGTGGTGCTTTTAGGGTAGGCTGGGTTTTGTGACCTGTTTGTTTTACTACTCTCAAAGCAGCCAAACTGGGTGACCCTATGTCCTCCTCTAGGGAGCACAGTCCTCTATTGGAAGAACTGTCCTCCTTTTTTAGTGACATGCTAAGTGGCCACAGTGGCCCGGTTGAGATTCCCTGACTGTGCAAGGAAAAGAGCTTTTGATTGGTAAATTCATCTTATAAGCCCTTTCTCATTTTTTAAAGTAAAATGATGGGGAGGGCATTTTGTAAAAGAGATGCAAACCAAACCCCTTTCCTTCTTTTTCTTTTGTGGTTTATCTTTCATTTTTTCTTCCCATCTTGTAGTATTGGCTACTTAATGTAATAGTTCTCTTTTTTGTTATTTTTTGTTGTATTATGTGTCTGTAGGCCACCTAGAGTGGTCACAATGACCAGATAGGCAGGATATAAATAAATAAATAAATAAATAAATAAATAAATAAATAAATAAATACTGGTGAAAGGCAGAAGGGCAATTGCATGTCATATAAGTTCTGTACGAACTTCAGATGTGAGGTCAGTCCCAGGGGTGGTTGTTGTTATGTGCAGCCATGTTGCCTCCAGCCTATGGTGACCCTATGAATCCTGATTTGGTCTGCATTGGCCAAATCTGTTCTTTCTTATTGTGTTCATGGCTTTGGCAAAAAAAAAAAAAATGGTTGAGAAAGGCTGGTCTAGAGGGTTGGTGTCTATGAAGTGGATGAGGTTGGTGCTGCATTACCTTATTTTGTTCATTATTTGCTTGTACCTTTTAATGTCTGTCTGGAGAGGCAATGATAGCCAAATAATGGACTTTTTCAGTGGGGGTAGATTACA